TTGTGTCGAAAAAATACTGTTGGTAAAAAAAAAAAAAGTTTTTTTTTTTTTTTTTTTTTTTTTTTTTTTACCAATAGTGTTTTTCGACACATACCTGTCGAAATTTGGAGAATTTTCGACAGGTAGGTGTCGAATTTTGTTTTTGTATTTTTTTTTTTTTTTTTTCGACACGTTGGTGTCGAAAATTGACCAAAAAATCGACCTGTATGTGTCGAAAATTGCCGACGGGTTTCAAAAAAAAAAACTTCAAAATCGACTTCGAAGCTCAAAAAAGACATCGATACTTACCTTAATGGCTTCTCTTTCCACATATACTACCATATTATTGTCTTATAACTCCATTTTATAAGTTTTGTGAGGTTTTGATTTTTTGAATTTGGAGATGTTTTGGAGGATTTAAGAAGATGAAAAAGATAGGGTTTAATTGGGTTGTCGCGGCAGTTACGAGCACGTACGGTGGCGTTCGGCGGCGGCGGCGTCGGCGGCGGCGGTGAGGGTTGGAGAGGAGAAGAAATGGTGGAGGTTTTTTTTTTTTTTTACAACAAAGGGTTTTTTTTCTTTTTTTTTATTTGATTTTTGAATAGGTAATTTCTAAAAAAAATTGATATAATTGATATTTTGTATGAAAGGGTGTTTTTGTACTTTTTTTATTTATTTTGATATTAAAGTAAGAAAAAACTGATAAATATGTACTCAATTTTGGTTTTAAACTTGGTAGTATTCAAATAAGCAAAAGTTGGGATTTAAAATAGTTGCCCCCTTTGTAAGAAGATGAAAAAGAGAGGATTTTAATATATAAACGGGGTTTGGCGGTGAAGAAGAGATGTTTTTTTTTCTTTTTTTATTCTTTATATTGAAGTATGGAAAAAAAATTGTTTATATAACTTATATTTTGTTTGATGAGGTGTATTTTATTACTTTGTAATAAAAAAATTATTTATGATATTAAACTAAGAAAAAATTGTAAAAACTTTTATAAAATATAATATTAAATTAAGTAGTACCGAAATGAAAAAAAATTGCTATTATTTTGACTTTTGAGCTTTCAGCCGCCCCTTAATTTAATCATGATTTTATTAATGGAATATTCAAAATTATTTTCGTAAAATGTGATGAATTTCCACGTCACGAGGGTATTTATGTCAAAACGCAGCTAGATTCTTGTCTCTTTACTCTCTGTTTGACTTCCAATTGGGTATTCCTCTGCAATTCCCACTCCGTCCCCATAATTTCAACGTTCCCCAAAATATCGCACGTTCCTCGCATTTCACTTTCTCTCTCCTCTCTCTCTCTCTCTCTCTCTCTCTCCCCCCCTTTTTGGTCGATTTCCCATCTACTCTCTCACTCTATAATATCTCACACCCCCTCTTCTTCTTCATTTTTCTTTTTGGGTAACTGATTTCATCATCGGATTGTCAAAATCTAACAACTATTCTGCACAACATACAAAAATCTCAAAAAAAAAAAAAAAAAAAAGTAATTCCTACTTTTTGAACCATTCCCTATTGGCTGCTGAAAAATCTATATATATATTAAGCAGCCAAACCGGAACACTTTTTCTGTGGGGTGTCTTCTCGTATTTATCGATCTGCAGCTGTGTTGGTTTGTGAGATTTTTCTGGATCGAAGTTGTAGTGGAATTAGTTAGGTGTGCGGCGGGGTGGTGGTGGCGATGGGGAGTTATTTGAAGGAGTTTTCGGAGGTGAAGGCGAAGAACTCGTCGGAGGATGCTTTGCAGCGGTGGAGGAAAGCGTGTTGGCTCGTTAAGAATCACAAGAGGAGGTTCCGATTTACTGCTAATTTATCCAAGCGTTTCGAAGTTCGCGAGATCCAGAAATCCAATCAGGTTTTTTTGTTTGGCTCTTTTTCAGTATCGAAACCGCTTCTCTGTTGTTTCTATTTTTCGAATTTGTTTTACTTGGATTTAGGTTTTAGTTATCAATTTTTTCTTCGATTTGGATGTTGAATTATATGAAGCTAAGTCTTTTGTTTTAGCTGTGTTTGTTTAGTCGGTACTTGATGAGTTCTTTCTTATAGATTTGAAGTTTGACCGTTTGAAAGTAATGATAGTTTGCCGAAAGCTGAAATACTTTTCCAACATTTGGAAGTGAAAAATGTTGGTTGCCTAAGAGAGAATATTTGATTTTTGTCATGTTTTTTTTAAACTAAATTTCTGCTTAACTTCTGAAGTAATCTTTTCTTCTAACAAGAATGAGAAGGTGTTAAATGAGTTGACCAGACGATTTCTCACCACATGTTTCATACATTTTTTAGATTCATTCGTTGTAAACTCACTGTTCGGTAGATTGGGGTTTGGTGACAATTTCAGGGGTTCGAAATTCGAATCTCTTTCGATGCTTGTGTGTTGTAAGGCTGCATTATAATTGAGGCAATTTTTGTTTAAAAATAAAACAGTCTTTCTTTTTTCGTACAAAATCCGATGTGGCTTTGAATGTTTAACTTCTCCTACTGAATCATTTTTATTTTGTATTTTTTCAAGTTTACTATGATCTATTCAATATCTTGAAATTCCACTATTTGCAGGAGAAGCTCAGAGTTGCAGTATTAGTTTCCCAGGCAGCACTTAGTTTCATCCAAGGTTAGTTAAAACTACAAAACTGCTCAACCTGAATTCTCTAGTCTTCTATTTCTCTTAATTCTCCACCGAACATGCCCAGGTATAAGTTACACCCCACCGGATGAAGTAAAGGCAGCAGGTTTCGGAATATGCGCCGACGAATTAGGAACAATCGTGGAGGGACATAATCCTAGGAAGTTGAAAGTCCACGGTGGCGTAGAGGGCATTTCAGACAAGCTCTCAACATCACTCACAAACGGGATCGAAATTTCCGACGAATCCCTCACTCGCAGAACACAAACTTACGGAATCAACAAATTCACCGAGAGCCCGTTAAAGGGCTTTTGGCTATTCGTATGGGAAGCCCTTCAAGACACCACACTCATGATTCTTGCTGTTTGCGCCTTCGTCTCTCTAATTGTCGGCATCGCCACAGAAGGGTGGCCAAAGGGTGCCCATGATGGGCTTGGAATTGTAGCGAGTATACTTCTCGTTGTGTTCGTCACTGCTACAAGTGATTACAAACAGTCTCTACAGTTTAAGGATTTGGATAAGGAAAAAAAGAAGATAACTGTACAAGTTACGAGAAATGGGTATAGGCAGAAAATCTCGATTTTCGATTTGCTTTCGGGTGATATTGTTCATCTTGGGATAGGTGATCAAGTTCCGGCAGATGGGCTTTTCGTTTCGGGTTATTCTTTGTTGATAAATGAATCGAGTTTGACCGGTGAGAGTGAGCCGATTAATGTATCTGCTGAAAACCCATTTTTACTATCGGGGACTAAAGTGCAAGATGGATCTTGCAAAATGCTTGTCACTACTGTCGGTATGAGAACTCAATGGGGGAAATTGATGGCTACCCTTTGTGAAGGGGGTGATGACGAGACACCTTTGCAAGTGAAATTAAATGGAGTGGCGACAATTATTGGGAAAATCGGTCTCTTCTTTGCTGTGATCACATTTGCAGTTCTTGTGCAAGGACTGTTTAGCAAGAAGATTAGCGACGGATCGAGCTGGGCTTGGTCTGCTGACGAAGCGCTCGAAATGCTCGAGTACTTTGCGATTGCTGTCACTATTGTTGTTGTTGCTGTTCCCGAGGGATTGCCTTTGGCCGTCACTCTGAGCCTCGCATTTGCTATGAAGAAAATGATGAACGACAAAGCGCTCGTTCGCCACCTGGCAGCCTGCGAGACTATGGGTTCCGCTACAACAATCTGCAGTGACAAAACGGGGACGCTCACCACCAATCACATGAGCGTCGTCAAAACCTGCATCTGCGGTGAAGTGAAAGAAGTCAGTAGTGGAATGAAGGGCTCGGATTTTTGCTCGGATTCCATTGCTAAAATGGTGACAAAATCGATATTCAACAACACGGGTGGAGACATTGTCATCGCTAAAAACAACAAGATCGAAATACTTGGCACGCCGACAGAAACTGCTCTCCTCGAATTCGGCCTCTTGCTGGGAGGAGATTTCCGAGCGGTGAGAGAGGAATCAAAGATTGTGAAAGTCGAGCCGTTTAATTCCGAGAAGAAACGCATGGGGGTAGTTTTGGAATTACCGGGCGAAGAATTATTTCAGGCGCATTGCAAAGGTGCTTCGGAGATTATTTTAGCCGCGTGTGACAGGACTCTGAATTCTGATGGTGAAGTTGTTCCATTGGACGCAAAATCGGTTAAATATCTTGAAGACACGATCGAGCAATTTGCTAATGAAGCTCTTAGGACATTGTGCCTTGCGTATAAAGATATTGATGGCGATTGTTCAGTTGGAAATCCAGTTCCATTTGAGGGTTATACTTTGATTGGAATTGTGGGAATTAAAGATCCGGTTCGCCCTGGAGTGAAGGAGTCTGTTGCTATTTGTAGGTCCGCGGGAATTATGGTGAGGATGGTCACGGGAGATAATATTAACACGGCTAAGGCGATAGCTAGGGAGTGTGGAATACTAACTGACGATGGTATTGCTATTGAAGGACCGGAATTTCGGATGAAAACTGACGAGGAATTGCAAAAACTCATACCTAAACTTCAGGTACTCTATATGCATTAAAGACTAAATAGCTATATTTGTATTGTTTTTTATATATATTTTTAAATTTTTTTTTTGGTATGGAAGGTGATGGCTCGTTCATCTCCAATGGATAAACATACACTCGTCAGACATTTGCGAACAACGTTTGGGGAAGTTGTTGCAGTGACTGGAGATGGAACAAACGATGCTCCTGCACTTCACGAAGCTGATATTGGCCTTGCTATGGGAATTGCTGGAACCGAGGTATTTTTTTTTATTTTATTATTTTTAATATTTTTGTATATTACTTTGACAACTGTTTTTAAAGTGGAATCTGAAGTCATCCAATTGAAAATTCGAATAACAATGGAAATGTGACCTGCCTTATAGTAAGATAATATTTTATGCTAAGGTTTGTCGACTACCTTTTCCAGGTGGCGAAAGAGAGCGCTGATGTCATAATTCTAGACGACAATTTCTCCACCATTGTCACCGTAGCAAAGTGGGGCCGCTCGGTTTATGTGAACATTCAGAAATTCGTTCAGTTTCAGCTCACAGTTAACGTGGTCGCTTTAATCGTCAACTTTTCTTCAGCCTGCTTGACAGGTAAAAACATATAGTCACATTAAAAACCAATGTATTTGATTTGTACATATGTTCTTTGTCTGAAAACCATTTTTGTCTCATGGTTTTTTAGGCAGTGCACCCCTCACCGCTGTTCAGCTTCTATGGGTGAACATGATAATGGATACACTTGGAGCACTTGCTTTAGCCACCGAGCCTCCTAATGACGACTTAATGAAGAGAACACCGGTGGGGCGAAAAGGTAATTTCATCAGCAATGCCATGTGGCGAAACATCATGGGACAGTCTGTGTATCAGTTTGTTATCATTTGGTATCTTCAAACGTCTGGAAAGGTGGCATTCAACCTCAGCGGCGACGACTCTAGTTTAATTCTTAACACCATCATTTTTAACTCGTTCGTCTTCTGTCAGGTAAAATCTTTTTATTCATTTTTTTGGTTTAAATTTCTCCGCTCGCGCTTTCATTTGTTAATAAGAGTTAAAAACAACACCACTTTTCCACGTTTGACTTCTAATCCATTTATTAATAATTAGGCCCTATTTGTTAGGTTAGTGTAATGAGTTTTTGGGGGGCCCGTCTAAGGCCTCGTTTGGTTTCTAAGATAAGATTAAATGATTCTATGAAAACCCATTTGTATTCTTGGACCATGGGGGGTCTAATAAATGATCTCCCAATCAGCCAAGATTGGAGCTTTTTCTCCACAATTGGGGGCCGATCCGGAAAATGATTTGACTAACCAATAAGTCCTATTATGTAACTAACTAACCATGGCTAATCTTACCAACGAAACGATGCCTAACCATACTGTTGGGTCATAATAAGATTCCATAATCTTTTTATCTTGGTTAATACCATTAGGGCTCGTTGGATAGAAGGATGTAATTACATGTGATACTGTTACATTAATCAAATCATGCACTATATTTAAGTTTCATAGGATGTTAAATTGTTAATAAATAGCGGGTTATATCTGTCGTTCATTTATCACGAAAAAAAAAAAACGTTTTTTATAGTAGACAACATATCAGACCTTTTTTGGCTTGATATAAATACAATTTGTTACAGGTTTTCAACGAGGTAAGCTCAAGAGAGATGGAGAAGATAAACGTGTTAAAAGGCATACTCGAAAACTACGTATTCGTAATTGTACTGAGCTGCACAGTTTTCTTCCAAGTCATCATAATTGAATTCCTCGGAACATTCGCCAACACACATCCTCTCACCTTGCAACAATGGTCCGTATGTATTTTGCTTGGATTTATAGGCATGCCTATTGCTGCTGCAGTAAAAATGATCCCTGTCGGATCAAGGTAAAAGGAAAAACAATCAAACGGGAATGGTTTTAGGGGATTGGAATACTTGGAACCAAATCATCGTACGGGCATATTATTTTCGAATTGATATTCTTGTTTTTTTTATTTTTATGGGAACAAATATATCATTCGGTGTTTTCAGGACAAAGCAAGTTCGAACGCGGTTAAGTGTCTGTATATCATGTTAGAACAAGTACCACAAATGCAGAAGGACGACGATTTTGTAGTTTGATTTGAAGAACTCTTGATTGTTTTCTGATTTCAAGGCATTAATCAGGATTATCGAACGTGCGACTTCTTATTAATTTTTTTTTTTTGATTTATTGTGAAATAATTCAGGTTTAACTAATTATTTCTCTGCGTGCTGTATTCTTTTTTCTTTTTTCAAGAAAATTTGTGAGATCTTTTGAGCTGGTTAGAGAATCACCTATTGATAAATTTAGAGCAAATTACACCCACCCCTGATGTAATTCCAAATTTCAAAAAAATTCTTCATATTTGGATAATTACAATAAGCGCCATCAATTATGTATTGTCTTACGAAAAAAATTCCTCTTTCAGTAGGTCAATTTGACACCGTAAGCATGGACGTGTAAGATAATATATGAATATTTTTTTTTTTAGTATGAGCATACCTTAGGGGGTGACAGTAATTTGTCCAAACATTTATATGTAGAGTCTGATGCCGTTTGAATGCATGATATTTTCAACTTTTTTCATTTGAATCGTTTTTTCAAAATTTTCGGGTGCATACGTTGTAATGAAAACTACTTAAAAATGTGGTTTCTCCAAACCAAATTTATGTTATTTACACTTATCAAAAGAAATCCTAAAACAATTTTAGTAGTTTCCACGTAATTCAAACATGATTTGATTGCTACAGTAAAAAAAAAAATTTATTCCTTGAAAAATAAACAATCATTTTTTTTTCAAAGAAGTTTTAAATATGTATCCAACACCTTTAAATGTAATTTGATTTGTCTCTTCTATATGTAAACAAAAATTACTTAAATTCTCAATTTTTTTTCTTCCAAAACATCTTTTTCTAAATCAAAATAGAAACGAGACTCGTAACAGTTCCAAACAATGTCGTACTTCCTCTATTGCTTTTATATCATTGTGCGAGGAAGGTAAAAATCACCGGCATAAGGGCAGGGATCATGCCCCCACAAATTTCTCAAATTCCTATTATTTTATATAGAAATATAAAGAATATAGTTTATAATAGCATTAACGTGCCCTTACTAGAATTTTTGTAAGGGAGCGGCTAAAATTAATACCATTTATTTCTCAATACCACCAACATAAAAAATATAAAATAAATATAAAATAAATAGGTAATGACATTATTACCCTTAATGAAAATTGATACCACACATAAATTTATGTGATAAGGGTATTAATGTCATTACCTATTTATCTTCTATTTTTTATATTGATGGTGTTGAAGTGAGAAATAAACGGTATTTGTTTTAGCCGTTCTCTTTTTGTTAATGCATTCAGTCTTTCGAAACTTAAAATTTTAGCTCCTCTAATAATAAAAATGCATCCACTAAGGGCATCTCCAATGGAGTAAGCAAACTCCATTGGGCTTCAAAATATAGAAATTGTGGAAGAAAATTCAACACCAACAAGAAATTTAGTGGGGCTCTAAATTTTCAGATTTTTGCATAATCTCCAAACTTGTTCCTAAATATAGGACTTTGTTTGGAGACTCATGTGTATTTTATTAGACTTTGTTTAGGAACTCAAAATTATGGAGCCCTCCACTGTGAGATTTTATTTTTTAGAGACTCTAAGATTCCACCGGATCTCTATACGGGTCTCCAAATTCAATTTTGGCGACCCAATTTGCTTACTCCATTGGAGATGCCCTAATACTCTTCAGCTGCCTCACATGAATTATTATTTGACACTAATAAGGAAAAATATATCTTAATTTTCATGAAAACATTGAAATGACAATAAAGCCCTTAAAAAAATGAAAAAGAAGCCCCCGAAATGGCAAATATATATGGCGTCGTGCTTCAACTTGCCGAGTTCATATAGAAATGTCCATTTTTTTCTAATTCCCTTTTTTTTTAGCTCATATGATAAAGTGCTATGCTATTTACTTTACTATCAATCATTAATCACTAAAATAAAATAATAAAAAAAAGTTCTCTCTCAATGTGATCAAATCTTGTTTTTTAGAATGATGACGCGGGTCTTATGTCAACTTCCAATTACACCAGAGTCTTGATCGGTCACCGTGCAACATCGGGAGGGATTTCCCAGCATAGAAGCTCCGACGATAAAATCAGTTTTTGTGTCTGAGAATATATTATATATTTCTTATATAAAAAACATTCAGAGTTTAGGATTTTAATGAACTCCATATTTATAGACATGCGTGCCTTGAGATGCAAGTCTCACTAGGTTTGTGTTGTTAGAATTTTATCGTACATATATAAGAATCCCAAGAACCAAATGCTTAAATTAACGAGAATTATACAGAAACATAAACACGGAAGCGTACTTTACATCATGGAATTGAATCTTCGAATCTTCACTGGATTTGGGACAAGTCTTCCAAAAAATCCACAGTTCCTTAATTATCTCTGTAACGATGGATTTTAGAAGAGACGAAATGGTTGCGTTTCTTTGGAGACCATGACCCTTAATATAACTGTAGAGTCCAGTTATATTACAATTGTAATTCAGCCCCATAAATAAATCACAATTAAACCCTAATTGTCTCTACAGGCCCATAATTATAATCTAATACCCATAAGTCCAACCCAATAATCTTTATTAGATCACAATTAATTTGGACTTTCTTTTAGATAGCCATACACATTTACGTCACATATTGCTATCATATAAAAGGGCATTCCTTACAATCTCGTCCATTGACCATACTAACATAGGACTAAAGAGGCTTTCGTCACATTGATCGTGTCTAAACCCAACGGTAATCACGTATACCAGTATAGCCAAACGACATAGATCAAATCATGGTGTGTAGCATATAAATTACATATAATGTGATCTTAACATGCCTATTTCCAATTGGTCCTACTTTAAACTTTATTGAGACCAAACCTTAACATAATTGTACAAAGCATAACCAAATACTTTATTTCTGCAGAAAACTAAATACACAAATTTGTGTCCAAACATGCCATAGAGCTACCATAATGTGTTTTTATATACACATACATACAAACTCCCACTGAACCAAAATATCCTTAAATGATATAACACCTACATGAGCAATGGTCATGAAATACCTTATGTATTAACCCTCTAGTCAGCCAATCCGCAATTGTGAAGTTTATCTTAATATGCTCTATGTACTGTTCACTTTGTACCTTTAATAACAAAGAACTTTCACAAGCTCTTGTTGTTGTTCGAAAGTACAGCTGTTAAATATTGTCACCGTATAACTTTAATACAAATCAAAATGTGCAGCCTTGTGACAAAAGTTTTAACTATATTGCAAAATAAGATGCCAAAAATTACCATACATTCTTAACCATTGTGAAAAGAGCTTAACGTGTTTGCTTAACACCCATGTCGAAATAGCTCAATCACTGAGGTCTACATTAACCAAAATGGATCTATACTTCATACACATCATAAAACTGAAAATCAGAAATAAACCACACGATCTCCCAAAATATTTTTGATAAATGAGCATATGTATATAACTTACATTCTATATAATTACTGTATAGTCCATTTGACTGCTTTGCTAAATGATCCACTTTATAGGGTTATTGAAAAATATGCCTAACTTTATGCACGCCTTAATCGAATGCGTACATTCTTTTACTTTAAAATATTTATTGGGCATTGAAATGAGACTAAACAAGTCTCCTTTGTTGTGAGATTATCTCCCACTAATCCTTGGATATGTGCAACCATTAACTTCATTTATCTCAAAGTACATTTTAGATAATTAGCTTAGGATTGTAACATCATTAACGAGAATTTTAATTTCATTAATGAACTACTTTAGTTTGCAGTCAATATCCTTCAAATCTTTAAATAAGATTTTATGATTGAACTTTATTGTTCCATAAATGTTACCATTTGAGAAACATATTCCTTGTGTCCAAAAACCTCTTAATAGAGTCGATATGAGTGAAATCTTTAATGACTAAACGTACCATAAATCTTTCAATATTACCCATTTGAATTACATTTGGTCTCAATTAATTGTAACCAAAAAATTTCACACCTTATGGCAATTCGATAAGATCATAATGTCTTGTCATTCTAAATTGCAACTCATATTTAATGCTTTATTATCTTAAGGTTGTTGAGTTTGCTCTTAAGTAACAATTGTCAAACCTTGATTGAGGAATTGTTCCACATTGTCTTATCAAAACTCCAAATCTACTTTTCAAACAATGACAAGTATAAAAACATGTACATTGTCAAAAGCAGTATTAGGAATCGAATTGATTCCTCTTTAAAGACAATGTCTATAATCTAAATTTCTCCCCTCAAACTCAACATCCTTAAAAAAAATTAAATTTTCCCTTTTAAAAGTAATATATTATATTGCAGCATTTAGTGTTTCTCCTAAATGCACCTTAGTGAAGAATAATGACTTATCATACTTCTTTGAATGTCCTTGAATGTTCAATTCTTGAACTTTGTACCATTTTAAATTGCTTATGCAAGATTTTACTATATGAGACTTTTACTTCAATTATAGGTCAATTTTTGAATTATGAAATAGACCAAACTTAATATTTTCAAATGAACAAGCTAACCGAATTTGTTCAAGACAAAATCTAAATCCATCTAATGACGGTACCAAATGTCTATTTCATAATTCAAAGGAAAATCTAAGAGTCCTCATAGCCTCAATCCCAAATGTCTTGCATAACCTTTATAGATGTATATATTTCAACATCAATTAAATGTTGGTTATGTGAATAACCCTTTATATACACACTTACGTGAATAGTGTAACCCATGATCTATTCACTAAATGTGTCTAGGTACTAAGTCAAAATATATTTCAGAACAAATTAAAGTGAGAAACAATCATAATTACGTTTTTCAACGTACCTGAGATGTAAACTGCAATTATAGATATTTATCTTAAGGTGTACTAGTCAAAATAGCACTTAGTCTTTTCTCCCTTAATATTTATTCTTCGTGTGAACGGACAAAGTTTTATTCTTTATGTTTTACAACAAACCTTATATTGACCGTTCACGGAGTAAAATAAATTAAACCATATCCACTTTCAAGTTAGCAGACCCACACTAACTGAAGTGCTATAACAGAAAATGAGATTAGACTATTACTTAATGTGCTCATTTATGTTCCTTTTCTTTATACCTATTTAAACAATAGAT